TTAAGTTAATTGAAAATGTCCATAACTTACTGGTTCATGCACTCTTTTTCTCTCTCCCCGCCTACACGTCCCCAAGGGGTGTGTGTATATGTGTGTGTTCCTTTAATGTTCTGTCTCCTTACAATAAAGAAAAAACACCAGCCCACTTCCCAATAGATTAGTAGAGACTAAATCCCCAGATTTCATGAGTTTGTTGCAATTACATATCTGTTTACATATGTATTTATTTAACAGGTCTTATCATGTATTTGAAAGTCAAAGACAGGCAATACTAAACCTTACATCTCATATCTTTTTATATTCTAATTATACTAATAAAAACTTGAATTCTCCTCATAGCATTTTAAATGTGTCTATTAAGTAATAGACAATCTGAAGAAAAAACATGTTATTCACTCGTGACTGTTCTGGCACAATTTATTGTATTACTGTTAAGCAAATAAAAGTAGAAAAATTCATTATTCAATCTCAGGTTATGACTCTAAAAACTCTACATTTTTCCCAAGTTGCAATTAAAAATCTCAAGTGATGATTTAACTGTCTTAATAAGTCTCAATTATGCTTTAAAGGTAATACCAGGCATACATCTAAAGAAAGAAATACCAGCCAGGTTTGGTGGCTCAGCCTGTAATCCTGCCCTTTGGGAGCCTGAGGTGAGTGAATTGCCTGAGCCCGCAGGTTCGAGACCCACCTGGGCAACTTGGTGAGACCTCAACTCTACAATAAATCAAAAAATTAGCCGGGCATGGTAGTGCGCGCCTGTAGTTCCGGCTTCTTGGAAGGCTGAGGGGGAAGGATCGTCGGAGCCCAGCAGGTCGCGGCTGCGGTGGCTGGGAGCGGCCACTGCACTCCAGTCTGGGTCTGGGTGACAGAATGAGATTCCAACTCCAAAAAAAAAAAAAAAAAAAAAGAAAGAAAGAAATACCAATGTAGCAAGCAGACACATATTTTCTTAACAAGGTTCAATTATTATATATGTTGCATAATAACATGCAGGTACTCTATTTTTTTCATAGAAAAACATTTTACTTTGATTTGTAAAGCAACAGACAGTTCTTTAAATATCACCTGACTGTACTAAGTGGGACCATCAATTATCTGGATTTTTTTTTTTTTCCGCATTAAGTTTTTAGAAAGAAGCAAATTACAAAAGGAATGATTGTGGATTTAGTCCAAAAAATAATTTGGGGGTTATTTACATGAGCAGTTTGAAATCAGTGTCATCTCTTCTATTTGGACTGTACAATGAGAATTGATTTCTGAGTGATAACCCTGAGACTTGCAGAAGTATCACTTATCATAGAAAGATTCAATTGTGTTCTCACATCGCACTTACTAAGGAAGAAAAGTAAGGGAAAATGCTTCACAAAGAACTCAAGAAAAGTTTCCATAAACTTCAGTTACCTAGATGAACACACCTAGATAATCCAGATCTCCCATTTTTCAACAGTCTATGTGACAGAGATTTATGGTGTAACAAAGTTTATGTTGAGGAGTTTTTATAGTTTTTATATATATTCTCATTGATTTCCAAGTCCATTACATAGTCAGAAGAAGCTTTAATTTAAAATTTTGAATGAAGAGAAACATATATATTATAAAACTTGAATCACCAAAAGTGCTGAGTAAAATAAAAGAATCGAAGTATAAACAGAAGGACCACATAGCCCCAGGGGACTGTATTTATCTTTTCAGATTCCAGACTGTTTTGCAACAGAAGTTTAAGGCCTGAGTGGGTGGCTTGACTACAGGACCCAAAGGATCCCTGCCAATCCTGACATCCTGTGACTTATGGATGGATGACAGTTCATTGGCTAGATCTTGAGGCTTTCTGCTTTCCAGTGTGTGTTCTCAGTAAAAAGTAAAATAGTTAAAAGCAGATAAATGCAAAATACCATCCAAAGTAAAGAATTACAGTAAGATAAAACATGAACACACAGAGTTTAAGTATGTTCAGTATCAAGGAATGGTAATATGAAAAAAGATGTTAGCTTCTTTTAATATGAAGCTTCAATTTTTGTTTTACCAATAAAAAAAAAGCTTATTCTACAAAAACAATTTCATCCACTATTAAAACAACAACAAAAGAAAACAAAAGCACTAGTATTATCCCTCTAACTTATTACAATTTTAAGAACAAACTGTACAAAGCTACTTGGGGGGAAAAAGAAAAAGGAACATTTAATCCAAGTCTCACAGGTTTCTCAGTCTGTTCTTCAGCAGAGTAGCTTGCATATAACATCTTACATGATTGTTGTTCCCAAACTCAGGTGAAATCATTAGTGATCTCAGATCAACTTACCAGTGTGCTAAGATCCACTGAAGAAATTAAATAACTGAATATTGCTGAGTCAAACGGCAATTCAGCTCTACAGATAGTGAAACATGACAATGCTAAATTTTTTTCCCCTAAATTTGTATAAACTCATATCATGAAGTGCCGCCTTTCCAGTTAAAGGCTCTAAGTCAGGTCATCTTCTTTCTCAGTCTTTGTTTCTCCCCCCTGGCCCACCCTGCATGGTGGACTCTTTGTCTGCTTTCTAAGGCCAACTCTTTCAGAGTAGACTTTCTGTCCAACATCCCTTGCCATTTTCTTTATCTGTTCTCCAGTTATTAATTTCTCCTCAGCTTTGCAGGCTTTACCCCTCAAATGTGTGTGTGTGTGTGTGTGTGTGTGTGTGTGTGTGTGTGTGTGCGTGTGTCCACCTTTAGACTGTGAGCTCCTTTAAGAACACAATCTGTATTTAACATTATCCATGCCTGTATCCCCAGAACTTAGCACACGCTTCACACAGAGTGGGCGTTCAGTTGACATTTCTAATATAAACGAACATGAGTATGGAAACATTATGATAATTAGAGCAATGATTGAGACAGTCTTCCATCTGAAATGAACACACGAGAAACAGGAGCCAAAAAAAAAAAAAAATTCTTTAGGCTGATAAAGCATCCTTCTCTTCACAATGATGTCATGGTGCAGGCCTTCTAACAAAACTTGAAATAAGGGCAGGGCACCAGGCACAGGATGCTGAATCTCTTGGTTTATAGGTAGGTACATAGGGGAGGCCCAAGCCAGGGAGGTGTGAGCTATTTATGGTGCATGCCACTTTATGAAATGTGGAGAAAAATCACTAGTGCTCAAGGATTCTAACCAATCAGGATTTGCCCTGCAGGATGTTTTACCCTTACCCTGAGAGCCTCCAGTCTGGGGTGTGTGTGTGTGTGTGTGTGTGTGTGTGTGTGTGTGTGTGTGTGTGTGTGTGTGTGTGCTGGGGCGGGGGAGAGGGAGAAAGTTATGCCTAGGGTCAGAGAGAAGCATAGTGGTCTCCAGGGAGGCAACTACAACTCATTTTACTACAGAATCGATGTCAAATTGGCCACCTCAAAGGTTTGTGTCATTCATACCTTCAAGGCAATGGCCTATCTCCTCAGACTCCCATCTTAGAGCCTCTCACGTTCACTTATTTTCTTTCTTTTTTTGTTGAGTCTGAGTCTCACTCTGTCCTCCTGGGGTGAAGTGCAGTGGCACGCTCACAGCCATCGTAGCCTCAATCTGCTAGATTCAGGCGATCCTTTCACTTCAACCTTCCAAGCAGCTAGAACTACAGGCGCACACCACCCCGCCCGGCTAATACTTTTACTTATTGTAGAGACGAGGTCTTGCCAAGTTGCCCAGGCTGGTCTCAACTCCCCTGGGCTCAGGCAGTCCTCTTGCCTCGGCCTCCCAAAGTGCTGGGACTATGGGTGTGAGCCACTGCACCCGGTCCACTTCTTCTACACTCCCTCCACCTAATGGGTAAACACATACTGTCCATTCTACTCAAGGAACACTCCCCTTCCCTGCCACTGCAGTTTTTGTTCCCCTTAGGCTTCTAGAATCTGGCAGCAGTTCCCCCTTCAAACCCCTAAAAAAGCCTCCTAACTGGCCTTCCTGCCATATTTTCTCCTCCGTGTGACCCAAGAAGCCTCTTTCTTAAATGGATTCAAAAAGGAAATCACAGATACCTGCTTCAGATCTTTTCCCTTTCCTTTCCTTTTTCATTTCTTTGCTTCCTTCTTTATTTTTACTTTTTTGAAGGGAAAAAATTATTGATAAGATTTCAACTCCTAGCAATTGCATGACTCTTTGTATGTTGGCTCCAACACATGTAATCTAGCTTCAAATCCTGCCACCCAAATTCGGGCACACATTTCTTCTATGGCATAGACTGTTCTCACCTTTCCCTGGAGGTAACAGGCCTAGTCGTGAACTCTTGCTTTTGTAACATGCAACTGCTTTTGTCTAGACTGACTCTCAACCACCTTCACATGGAGATGCTTATCCTTCAACTCTCAGCTTGTCTGCTCCTTAGAAAAACGTTTTCTGTTCTGTTGGTAGTACTCAGGCAGAGCACCAAGTGTGTCTTTGTAAAAGTACTTACCTTTAGTACTGTGACTACCTGTTTGCACTTCTATCCCTCTCTAAAATGTGAGATTCTTGAAGGTAGGCACTAGGTCTTTCCTGCCAAGCCCTTAGAATGGTACATCCCATGTAGGAAACAAACCCTCATTGTTGAAAGAAAAAGCAAAAGTACATATGAGACAATTCTCAAATGAACAAAACGGATGTTTTTATGTTATTTAGGAAGAGCTGAAATCATTTCTCTGACGTGATGTGTTGCATAGGATCTGAAGGGCTGATTTTGGCACCTCGGGGCCTTGAGTAACTTTGTTTCTATGGGAACCGGCACTCTAAGTTCCAAACAGCACACATACAAATGAACTCTGGAACACAACGTGTCACCTCAAGACTCCACGGGCCAAGCAGCTGGCACTGAGGCTGGGAGGCGGCCCTCCGACTGTTGACTGTCTGTGCCTCTGTGACAGGTGAATGAGGCAGAGGGGACACACCACAACTTGAGGAGGGCCAAGCCAACCACAGGGACCAGCCCCAGTCAGCCCGTGAGCCACTGATGCCCTCTGCCCACCTGGCCCTTCTGGGCCCATGCCATGCTCATCACGGTGTACTGTGTGCGGAGGGACCTCTCCGAGACCACCTTCTCCCTCCAGGTCAGCCCCGACTTTGAACTCTGCAACTTCCGCATCCTCTGTGAGCTCGAGTCCCGTGTCCCCGCCGATGAGATCCAGATCATCTACACGGAGCGACTCCTGGCTGATGACCACCGTACCCTGGGCTCCTATGGCCTCAAAGATGGAGATGTCGTTGTTTTACTTCAGAAGGAGAATGTGGGACCTCGGCCTCCAGGACGTGCCCCAAACCAACCTGCAACGGATTTCAGCGGGGTGGCCATGCCCGGGACGTCCAGCTCCCGGCCACAGCATCAGCAGCGTGCACCAGCGGCCCCACTGTCCCATGGCCTGGCCTCGGGAGAGAAGATGGCCTCTGCTGAAGGTCTGGACAGCCCCGCCTTGATTCGCAGCATGCTGCTCTCCAATCCACACGACCTGTCGCTGCTGAAGGAACGCAACCCATCCCTGGCAGACGCCCTGCTCAGCGGAAACCTCGAGATGTTTTCTCAGGTCCTGATGGAGCAGCAGAGGGAACGGGCCCTGAGGGAGCAAGAGAGGCTTCGTCTCTTTTCTGCCGACCCGTTTGACCGGGAAGCTCAGGCCAAAATAGAAGAAGAAATCCGGCAGCAGAACATCGAAGAAAACATGAGCATAGCGATGGAAGAGGCGCCTGAGAGTTTCGGACAGGTGGCAATGCTCTATGTTAACTGCAAAGTGAATGGACATCCTTTGAAGGCTTTCGTTGACTCGGGTGCCCAGATGACCATTATGAGCCAAGCTTGTGCCGAGAAGTGTAACATCATGAGGCTGGTGGACCGGCGCTGGGCTGGCATTGCCAAAGGAGTGGGCACGCAGATAATTATTGGCCGTGTGCATCTAGCTCAGATTCAAATTGAAGGTGATTTCTTACAGTGCTCTTTCTCCATTCTCCAGGAGCAACCCATGGACATGCTTCTAGGCCTTGATGTGCTCAGGAGACATCAGTGTTCCATCGATTTGAAGAAAAATGTGCTGGTGATTGGCACCACGGGCACACAGACTCCTTTCCTTCCCGAGGGAGAGTTACCCTCGTGTGCTAAGATGCTGAGTGGCGCTGGACAAGAAGAGTCGTCAACAAGGAAATAGCAGATACGAGTCAAGGTTTAGTCACAGATTCGGGACCAAGACAGCATCGAAGCAGGTTATAAATGTGCCGCCACCTTGAGGGAGACTTGGGTTCCGGGAAATTATAAGACATGAGCTCACTGGCAATGGGTTCATTAAAAACATCAGTAACAGCTAAACCTGGCTTTGGGATTAAGTTCTCAGGTGTGTAATGATGTGAATTGCAATGGCTTGATCTTGGTCCCTCTTCCATTGCCCTTGTCCAGAGGTACTGAATCTCATCTTGGGAAGGCTCTGGAGAGTCCAGTCAATGTACAGATAATCCATGAAGAGGAAAACCAGACTCTTCCTTTAGAGATACTCTTCTATCAGTTTACAGGGCGTGGGGCTTTATCCAAACCTGTGGCTGTTTTGCAAAATTCCCTGAGAAAAAGCCATTACTTCAGAGCTTACGAGGCATTTACACAAAACTATTTCTTTCTTTTTGAGTTGGAGTCTCACTCTGTCGCCCAGACTGTAGTGCAGTGGCCGCTCCCGGCCACTGCAGCCTCGACCTGCTGGGCTCCGGCGATCCTTCCGCCTCAGCCTTCCGAGTAGCCGGAATTACAGGCGCGCGCTACCACGCCCGGCTGATTTTTTGATTTACTGTAGAGATGAGGTCTCGCTGCCCAGGCGGGTCTCGAACCCTCGGGCTCAGGCAATCCACTCACCTCAGCCTCCCAAAGGCGCAGGATTACAGGCTGAGCCACCGAGCCCGGCTCACAAAACTATTTCACACCAGCACTAACAATTATTCATATTCAGAGAAATATGTCTATTTGCACACATTTTGTTTTCTTTGGGAAAGGTATTAGACGCAGTGAGTCAATTATATTCCTAATTTGATTAATACTTAAAAATGTCTGTTTTGGGCAACACAAGAAACGGTGTCCTCAAGTTTACATCTTCCTTTCCCCTGGATTCCCTTGGGGTTCTGCTCACTGCAACCCATTGCTAAAGGCTATTTTTAGAAAGTAAGTTATTCTTCTAAGATTCCCCAATAAATCTTCTCTTTCTTCTCCATTCAAAGAAACCCAGGTTGTAAAAACAAAGGCTATAAATGCTATTTTAAAAAATTTATGGTGCTTCTTGGGAGCCTAGTAGTTTGTATGGTGATAGGCATGAGAGGTGAGGGCAAGCAGTGGTTCAGGCTATCTAATACTTCAACAAATTTGTCACCTTTTAATAAATCTGCTGACTATATTAAGCTACTGCTACACAAATATCGTTTGAACAAAGGATTTCACTGATAAAATAACATTTGAAAACTTCTGAATGAGAAGATCTCTAAGGCCTCATTCAGAATGATTCATTCTGACAAGGCTACTCTCTGTTACTATTAACAATGGGAAATGGAAGCTCCTAAACTTAATTACTACCCATGGCTAAAATACCAGAGAGAAAAGTTTCAGCTTCTGAGGCCATCAGATACAGGGGAAATGTTTCAGGACAATAATTCATCAAGACTGGTGTTGGAAAAGTGAATTCAAAATCAAGAAGCGTATGCTCTGATCAAATTTAATTACTAAGACAAATCAGTTTATTCACCTTACAACTCAGATTCCTCTATATTTGGGAGGCGGTCACTTTTCAAGTGCTACGTCTCCATTACGATCTAAGAAATCCTTTACATTATTCTATTTTCCCAACATGACTTAGGTCACTCAAAGCATTCTTTTTTTTTTTTGAGTTGGAATCTCACTCTGTCACTCAAATTGGAGTGCAGTGGCAGCTCCTGGCCACCGCAGCCTCGATCTGCTGGACTCCGGCGATCCTTCCGCTTAGCCTTCCAAGTAGCTGGAACTACAGGCACGCGCTACCACACCCGGCTAATTTTTTGATTTATTGTAGAGATGAGGTCTCGCCAGGTTGCCCAGGCAGGTCTCGAACCCGCGGGCCCAGGCAATCCACTCAGCCTCCCAAAGCGCGGGAATACAGGCTGAGCCACCGGGTCCGACCGCAAAGCATTCTTAAAGGCTACGGGGGTGGGGGGTGGGGGACTTCAATGTATTCTATGGCACCTGACTGAAAGTATCTGCATAACATAAAAAAGCCACAGTATGACCAGTACATGGAAATATAAGGAACCACAGTACCTGGAAAGCTGTTCATCCTTAGAAGCATAGAATTATA